CCGATTGAGTTTCTAGTAGGAGATTTCATGATTTTGAATGTCTCTCCATGGAAGGGTGTTGTTAGATTTGGATAGAGAGGTAAACTCAGTTCGAGGTATATTGGGTCGTTAAGAATTTGTAAGCGAGGTCGGTTTGGTTGCATATCAGTTAGAACTATTAGAGAAACTCAACTCAATTCACAACACTTTCCATGTTTCTAACTTGTGAAAATGTTTAGCCAATCCAAGTCTGGCAGTACCATTACCTAAGGTAAAAGTGGATAACAAGCTGAACTTTGTGGAAACTCCTGAGGCCGTCACTGACTGGAAAACAAAAGTGTTAAGGAATAAAAAAATCAATCTTGTGAAAGTTCAGTGGTATTTCCATAAGGGTTCAGAAGCAACCTACGAATTGGAGTCTGAAATGAAAGCATAATATCCATGGCTATTCTGATTGAATTCCGGGACGAAATTCTTTTGAGGGGTGGATAATGTGATAACCAGGTTGTGGTAAATAATTTGGGATGGTTTGAAATACTTTGGTAAGTAAATCATTTTAAATTCTTTATGTTTGATTACTTGTTTAAAATTCTCATTTGTTCCACCGCCTAATATATATATATATATATATATATTAGTCATGGGACTAAATGTGAGTAATGAGTTTAAAATATTAAAACTTCACCGCCTATGCTTGGCATATAAAGGTAAGAAGATAAAATTTTATTTTAATTACCTGTTCTGTTTTGAGAGAAAAAGAAAGGAGCGAAAAGTTATTGTGTGTAATCTTGTGTGAAAGTCTATGTAAAGCTGTTAGAACAAAGAAGTTGATTTTGTGATCATATTTGGAATCTATTGATGTGAGATTCATATTTGAATATGTGCATATAAGATGAGGTTTGTTATTAAAATTTTATACGTTTAATATTGAAAATACTTGAACTGATTGATGTTTATGTGGAAGTAAGGTAAATTGGTTTTTTTAAGCTGTTTGAGTTGAGAAAAGTAAACTGTTCTTGGAAACTATTTTTAGTTGATACTGAACTAGGTTTAGAACTATAAAAGTTCTTGATATGAAATTTCTGAGATAAAACTGTTTTAATGTCATTCTTGGCAAAAATGATAGTTTTTGTTATGTTTGTATGAGGGAATATAAGTGGCATATCAAGGAGAGGTGTACCATGGGATAAGGGTGACACATCAAGGAGAGGTGTACATTTGGATAAAGGTGACAATTGTGAAATCTGAGTTTTGATCATAGCTCTTGCTATCGCATCCATGAGATGAAATGATTTTATCATCTTTGTGTGATGTGAAGACTTGGAATTATTACTCTTATTGATATGATAACAATGATGTTGTGCAGAGAAGAAAAATAGCTTACAACCAGAGGCTTTAATTGCATGTGTTTCGAATAATCAATGTTTTTGGGGATTTTGGATATTGCACTTCAAATTGTTCAAAAGGGTAAAGGTTTGGTGATGAACCAGAGGCCTTTTGGTTGTTAAAGGTTTGGTGAGGAACCAAAGGAGCTCTGGTTGGTCTTCAAGAGTAACCAGAAGGCCTCTGATTGTGGTGGAAATCTCTAAGTTTTTCAAAACTCTTTTTGACCCACAGGCTCTATATCGTGAAATTTCACAAGTACAAGCAATGTACCTGAGCTCTGTATCTTAACTCTTGATTTCTTGTATAAACTTTATAAGTTTAATTTTTTATTTTATCTTTTACGACTATAGTAGAGAACCAGAGAGGCTCTGGTTAACTTTCATGTTTTACCAGAGGGCCTCTGGTTATGTTAAAATCTTATTGTTTTCTTATATCTCATCCTTTAATTTTCCAAAAGTTGTAGTCTAGACGGACCAGAGGTTCCTGTAAAGGGTTTCTGGTTGGTCATGCGTCCTTAGTTATTTATGAAAGTTGATGGTTGGTAAGACCAGAGGCTCTGGTCGACCAGAGGGACTCTCGTTGGCTTAACTCTGGATTTCTTTGTACTAAGTTGAGTGACCAGGGGAACTCTGGTTGATTACTTTTACGTGTTATTATCATCTTTAAGAATGATCTATATTTCATGATTAAAGTCTTTAATAAACTTTGTTTTGTTTAGCTTTGCTTTGGCTTAAGAGCTAGAGGAGCTCTTGGTAATCCCGCATAGTAGGACATGAGGGCTTTGAGAATCTCACACAGAGTGATACGATGACCTGAGTGGTTATATGCCATGTGTGGTGAGAGAGATTTATAAACTCTTATTGAATTATGATATTTGAGTTTTGTCTTATAAAAAGTTGAAATATATTTGTATGTTTATAAAGGTGAATTTTAAAATAGGTTTGGTGAATTTTCACCTTGTAATTGTATAAAAAGGGATTTCTCACTAGACTTCAAGATCTAACCTTCATTTTGTGTTTAAAAATATGCATTGCTGATCAGGCATTAGCAAGGAATAAGGGGAAGGGGAAGGAGAAAATGTGAAAATTTTCTGTTATGCTTACTTGATCATGAAGATCTGTATATTGTCTGTTGAATTTTTGGAATACTAATTTCTATGCCAATTATGTACAAAAATGTTATTTTGGAAATTTTTAGTTGTAAATTTTGTAATATAGCTTCTTGTATTGTTGGGACCGAAGGTGTACTATTTGTATTTCTTGATATATGAAATACATGTTTATATGCAAATGTGGAACCTTGGGCGTTACATTATGAGGTGTTCCATCAATTATTATTTAGTAGCTTGTCTAAATGGTCAAATATGGTATATCTAATTCACCTATTCAAAATCAGTCAATAAGGCATCAACTTGAAATCGGTCACCTTAAAAGCAGATTTCGGATTTTAATTTGATTTCATGGCTAAGTTGAGGTTTGGTTTGTAACTTTTTATTTAGTTTTGGTTCTTGGATTTGGTGTTTTGGTTATTTGGATTTGAATATTGCTTTTGGTGTTTTGGATTTGGATTTGAGTTTCATTTTAATGTTTTGAAGATGGCTAGAGAAGATGGACAACGAATGGTTGTCAGTAAATTTAACTAGAGTGAAAATTTTGTGGGTAGACATTCCATGCGTCGTTGTTTGGTGAATGATTTTAAAAGATCTTAATTTTTAATACAAAATTTAAAAACCAAAAAGACTAAAATACCCTTCATCTAACATGACTTTTTAACGGTCATTACAAAGAGGGACCAAATCTATTTGTTTTCGCATATAGTAGCGGACCCAGGAACTTTTTTGAGCAGTTGCACATTTAAGGTGGATCAAAGACCCATAAAGTCGCGGATTTGGTTGGAGGGAGAAGTCAACTCCGTTTGATCCCATATAAAATCAATTATGCCGATTTCGAGAATAATACATTTTTTAAAATTGAATCAACCTTGACTTTCGAGTAAAACACAAGACTACGTTTATGTTCGACGTGTTTTTAGCTGAATTTCACCTTTACGGCCTACAAACAACTTTTTTGGTTAATTTTTAAAAGTTTACCATTTTTAGTATTTCATCTTGGCTGTCATATGTTTTTTTTCTTTCTAAGTTTCTTCAATTTCCTTTCATTATGCATTTAGAACACCTATCGCTTCACCATGTATGTCATCGTTCAGCCAATAACAGAGATATGCAAGATGTTCCATTGGGCAGAGATGCAACTCAGACATTCTTTGGAAGCTAACTTATAGTCAAGGAAAATAATTCCTATCTCAGGCTTCATATGTTTAGTGTTGGGTATATAGGAACCCTTCGCTGGCAATGAAAGATTCAGCATAGAGATGTTTGGATTCTTCGAAGCCTTCAGGACTTCATCTAAGGAGAACTTTGTTTCATGTTCATTTCTCAGGGATGGTCCATCATTAGGACTTGAAGGTCTTTTTCTTCTTCCTCCTATCATCAGCGTAGGCACTTCAGGGACTGCGACATATCTCGACACTTTCTTGATCAACTCGTTGATAAGGTCTTCGATAACCATCTTATGTCTGGACTTGGAGCGCTGAATGGCTTGTAGGATCTCCAACCATTCGGTATAGCCATATTCACCAAGACATGAGGGATACTCGGTCACAGCCTCGAGATTGTCCCTGGTGATGAGCATGGAGAGCAGCATCCCACCATCTTTTGATCGTCCGCTGATGCTGTTACTCTTGATTGGGTGAGGACTGATCCCCTTATTAATGCTTGATTTGCTCCAGCGCTTGTCCCGCTCAACCAAATTCAGGTTCTTCTCGCGTTCAGCTTCTGCAAGAGATAGGAGCTTAGCCTGGGCCTGGACCGTGGTCACCTTCTTTTTGGACTTTCTCTTAGGAAGAACTTTGGTGGCAAGGGATTTGGCCAGCTTTAAGTTTTCCTTAGTCTGCTTTCTTTGAAGATCCAGTTTTTACTCAGCCTTGAGGGCCTCGAGTCTTTCAGCTTCGGTCAGGAAGTCGAACTCACCATAACTAGAGGTAGGAAGAGGGATTTATACTCTAGTTTGGTTGAGTGACTCCCTGAGCTGAGTCATCTGCTGGTCGGTAGGAGTGCTGGGGGTAGGGTTCTCAGAGACCCATTCTAGCCGACCGAAAGTGGTAGAGGGTATCTTGAGTTGATATAGAGATGTGATGACTACCTGAGATGAGGAGTCTTCAATAACATTAATAATCTAGTTATGAATAACTAAATTATAGTGATTTAATGAAGAAAGTTATGAAGTCTCAAGAATAAAATAAGAATATTTAAGAACAACTTTGAGCTTCAAAGGTTTTACTTTATAAATTCAAAAACGTAAAACAATGAGTAAAAGCCTTATTTTTACAATAGACCTAATCGTCTATTTATACTAATCGGCTATTAAGAAGATAACTATATAATGCTACTTTCTAGCAAATCTTCTATAAATAAGATTAGGTTTATCTTTTATATGGATAAGCATTATTATCAAGATAAACTCGAATTGCAGCTGTTGACTCGTCATCTCCAGCTGTCATTCACGATATGATGAATTCATCCTTATATTTAAATCTTCATGGCTTGCTTGAATGAATTGATGGAAAATCTTCTAAGGTTATGAGGAGTCTTCAAATAAGGGTTGAGAAATTTGGAATAGTATCTTTAGGTTCCCGTCTTTAGCGACACCTTTGTACATAGACTTGGTGCCCTGGTGCTTTTCTTGAGCAGCCTCTTTCACCCCTTGCTCCCCCTGAGATGAGGAATCCCTGAGGGCGACGCCTTTCGTGGCATCGGTAGGTCTCTGGTACTGAATCGTGAAGTCATCGTCATCGTCGTCTTCATCCTCGTCTTCATCCTCATCATCATCCAGGTCTTTGCCAGTGTCAGGAAGGTCAAGGGATTCATCATATTCTTCATCATCACTGTCTTCATCCAGATCACCAGCATCAGCTGCAGAGGTGATTGGAGGATCATCGTCACGAGCTTTAGCTCGGGCGACTTCAACATCCTTAGTTATGAGAGCTTCATAGGAAGTTGGAGATTCATCAGCAACATCAACTTCATCTTCAGCTATAGGAGCTTCAGCCTCAACTTCAGTTGCTGGAACAGCATCAACATCGCAAGGACCAGCTTTAGTCACTGTCTCCCCCTCTTTGACTATTGTTTTAGAGCAATAGCCGAAGAAGTGATCGACTGTGTGAATTTGGAACTTCATCAGCTCCTCGAGCTTAGTCAGAGCACGAGCCATAATAACATTGGCCTCACATGCTAGATGTAGCTGTTCACGGTCATCAGCAGTGAACGATGGTTCAGCTGCCTGGATTGGTTGTTGCAAAGTAGCCAATATCTGCTTCATGACCTCCGTCTGCTTAGCAATGTGGGAGTTTTAGGAGTTTACTTCATCGACCTTGCTTGTTAAAGCAACAATGGCCTCAGCATTGGCTTGAACTGCCATTTGGATGGAGGAGAGTTGGTTCTGGACATCATGAACTTCATCCCTGACGGCTGAGAGGTTAGCAGATACTTCGTCCCGTTGAGGCATGCCCTTATGGACTTCGTTCATTTTGTTAAGGACAGTCTCAACTGTTGGGAGGAGCAACTTCATGTCTTCAGCCATTTCATAGGATTCTTCCATGCCTGGTTCAACAAAAGGACCTGTAAAAGACGAAAAGTGAGCATAAGAGAGCTCGGGGTTAGATGAAACGAAAGGATAGGAAGATGGAATACTTGAGGGGTCATCAACATTATCGGAAGGATTAACGCTGGTGCGCTCTATGGTGCACTCAAGAGAATGAGCACCAGTTTATTGAGGAGCCTCAAGAGGAACTACTTTAGGTCGAGTGGTGAGTGTCTCATCATCAAGGAGGACATTCACTGATGAATCATGGACACGTGTAGCGACCAATGATGGAGGAGAGGAGAAGATGGCTGAGAGTGATTGTGAGTGTTCAGTGGTGGAGGCGCTGATATTCACACCTTCAGTGATTTGAGTCACTGAGGCGGTTGGGAGAGGTACCACTGATACGACAGTGATATCAGGAATCACTGAAGAGCTTGGAAGGCTGACTGAAAGTGCCTCGGGGTTAAGGCTCTTTTCAATAGCTGAGACCTTTAGAGAGGTCATAGCCAGAGATGTGGTTATCCCCATTTTGGCCTTCTTGGCTCTTTGAGGAGAACCAAGAGTTGGTTGAGCTGGACATTTGGAAGAAAGGGTTGTGGTGGCTGGGTTATACTTAGGGGGGTTGGCCTTTGTCTTGACCACCGAAGGCGAAGAAGAAGAAGAAGGAAGAATAGAAGAGTGTTGCATTACAACAGACAATGCAACATCTCCATCCCTCAGCTAGGAAGATTACCTTCCTTGGAGTATTTGTCGCTGAAGATCTTGGCGAACACCATTGAAAGGAATCTGGTGCATGGAATGACCTTCTCCCTCTGGCGCTTGCTCAGCTTCAGCGCAAGGTCATCGAAGATCACTGCAACATAGTTGATGGGTCGTCGGTGGATGACTGACATGCCGATAGTGAGAGCGACCCGTGATGCTTGATCTTGACCACCAGTCTTTCCACCCATGCTCTGGATGAAGTGAGAGAATAGGTATTGCCACACTGCTGACATGCGGTTCTTATCAATGTTCGACAAAGATTTGAGCGGCTCGCCGGAGTCTTTATTCAAAGGCCATTGGTAGCCCATATCATCAAGGTAGGCGATGATGATTTCAGTCGAAGGGTCACTGACGAACGGACCCTTGGGAAAGCGAAGAGCGTGCCTGAGAATGTTCACGCCAAAGCTTACATCATCCTGTTGAAGGTGAAGGAGATTTTCTCCACCTGTTGACCGTTCTTGTCCTCTTCTTGCACCACTTCAACAGTCATGTAGAACTGCTGAAGGGCCTCCCTAACCATGACAGGTTCATGGTTGAGAGTGTATGCGATGGAGGACATCTTGAGGAAGGTAGCAACATCCTCGTAAATGGTCTTATTGGTAAGAATGTCCAACAAGGCAACGTGGTTGTTAGCCTTGAATGATATGTCTTAAACGGAGAAGTTAACGTTCTTGGCAGCCATTGTCTGTTATAGTTTTAAGAAACAGAAAATAACAGTTGTTAGTAGTCCAAGATTTGTTGTGATCTTTTTAAGTTTTAGAACAATAAAACTTCTTTTGAAAAATCCTCAAAAGAGATATTAGGGTTTTGCATGTAGATTTATGTTTTGAAACAAGATTATAACCAAGAATAAGAATGTGTTATTAATCTTTGTATTTGTGTTTTAAGAGAACAAGATTCTTAAAATCTTAAACATTTGTTTCATAAGAAGGAGAAGAACAATTCTAAGTTTAAAGAATAAATATCGACCTTAGAGTTGTTTGAGAAGAAGGTCGAAGGATTCGAGAGTTCTTAGAGTTATTGCTTGCAAAGTTCTTTTGGCAGAGGTTCGTCAAAGATGTTTGTAAGTGTAAAGGAAATATGAGAGGAAGAGTCTCATATTTATAGGTAGAAGAAGAGAGAAAAGAAATAAGAGAGAGGAAAATACGACTTTTAAGGAAACGCTATGATGAAAGAAATGCCACGTTCTCATCCATGATTGGATGGAAGTTGGAGGAGGTCGCGTGTGTCAGACTTTTACGCACGTCTCAAAACATCTCGTATTGAAAACTGGGAATGTCGTCATAAAGACGGTTCATTAACTATTTCTTTTAAAACATTTAAGGTTTTAAGAAATTCAAAGAGTCACATTCAGTGATAAGATAATCACTGAATAAAAACCTTTTAAAACATATTGATCACTGAAGAAGAAAAGCTTCAGTGATGGTTTTGTTTTAAGAACTGAAAATAACTTAGAAGAGTATATTTTCATAAGAACTTCAGTGTCAGTGATAAGAGAATCACTGAAACTGACATTTAAAAACATTTGAATCACTGAAGGTAGAAAGGTTTAGTGATCATTTTGATTTTAAGAAATGTTCAGCGAACGAAAGAATCATTGACACAAACTTTTAAAATGTTTTGATCACTGACAAAAGAAAAGCTTCAGTGATAGCTTTAAGTTTTTAGAAAAAGAACAAATATACATACCTTAGAGAGAGTAAATACATTTACTCAAGAGTTCAGTGATAGAGATAGAGCACTGAATCATTTTACTTACTGATTGATGTGTATAGCTAAAGAAAATTATTCTTCAGCGTTTGTCATCCCCAGTTCGCTGATCAAGATGTTAAATCTTGTCTCATCAAGGGACTTGGTGAAAAGGTTAGCGAGTTGATAATCAGTTGGAACAAAGTGAAGTTCTATATCACCATTCATAACATGATCTCTGATAAAATGATATCTGATCTCTATATGTTTGGTCTTGGAGTGAAGTACATGGTTGTTTGCGATTGCAATAGCACTAGTGCTATCACAATAGATAGGAATCTTCGAGAACTGAAGACCGTAGTCCTTCAACTGGTTTTTCATCCAAAGAACTTGGGCACAACAACTTCCAGCGGCTACATATTCAGTTTCAGCGGTTGATGTGAACACTGAGTTTTGCTTCTTACTTGTCCAGCTCACCAACTTTCCACCTAGAAGCTGACAGCCTCTAGTGGTGCTTTTCCTATCAATCTTGCAACCTACAAAATCACTATATGAATAACCTATTAGGTCAAAAAATGAACCCAAGTTAGGAGTTCCCTTCAGGTATCTGAAGATGCATTTTACAGCGATCAGATGGGATTCTTTAGTGTTAAACCCCATAACTTATGATGTAAAAAGTAATGAAAAACAACAAGTGATGAAGAACCAGAAGACCAATGAAGACATCAAGGHARAATCRACTRAGTCTGGAATTCAACCATTGGATCGATGGATAGTTCAACCATTGGAYCGATGGACAAGTTCAACCATTGGACCGATGGACAAGTTCAACTAGAGGATCAATGGACAGGTTCAAGGATGCGATGGAAAGAAGCATTCTCATCGATCCTCTGGACAAACAACACTTAGAAGATTTTCCATCAATTCATTCAAGCAAGCCATGAAGATTTAAAGATAAGRATGAATTCATCATATCGTGAATGATAGCTGGAGATGACRAGTCAACAGCTGGAATTCGARTTTATCTTGATAATAATGCTTATCCATATAAAAGATAAACCTTATCTGATTTATAGAAGATTTGCTAGAAAGTAGCATTAGATAGTTATCTTCTTAATAGCCGATTAGTATAAATAGATGATTAGGTCTATTGTAAAAATAAGGCTTTTACTCATTGTTTTACGTTTCTGAATTTATAAAGTAAAACCTTTGAAGCTCAAAGTTGTTCTTAAATATTCTTATTTTATTCTTGAGACTTCATAACTTTCTTCATTAAATCACTATAATTGGTTATTCATAACTAGATTATTAGTGTTATTGAGAGATCTGGGATCAACAATTGGTATAAGAGCCTATTGATTGATTATCCAATCAAAACAATCATTCAAAAATCTCTCAAATTATTGATCTTCTTTCTCGTTAAAAATTCTTTCTTCTTCTCTAAAATTTTCAATGGCCAACTAGAATTCCGCGTACAATGTTGGCTCCTTCACAAAGCCTCCAACTCTTCAACGAGAGTAATATCCTCAATGGAAGATCAAAATGGTAAATTTTCTGGAGGGAATGGATAGGAATCTCCTGCGATCCATATAGGAAGGTCCCTACATTCCTCAAACTCTAGTTCCAAGAGTTCCAGGAACAAATACCACAGCTGAAATTCCAACATATTACATGCCGAAGGATGAAAGAAATTGGGATGAAGATGATAAAGAAAGAGTCGAAACAGACAAAAAGGCCAAGAGATTGATAATCATGGCGCWACCCAATGAAATCTTTCAATCCCTYGATACATGCTCCACTGCGAAGGAACTTTGGGATGAACTGGMAAGCCAACTGGAAGGAGGAGCAAAAACAAAGAAAAATCGTAGAGCGCAATGCCTCAACGAATATACTAATTTCAAAGCCCTCCCTGATGAACCAATACAAAAGACTTATAATCGCTTCAACACATTGATAAATCAATAAAAATGATATCATCAGAACAAAGGAAGAAAACAACGTTTTATTTCTAAAGAGTCTAGGTGATGAATGGACTCAACTATCTATGTCCCTACAAGCAAACCADGACCTARATGGYTKGTYTYYTCATGACCTGTATGGAACACTTGCAGCACAAGAGAGCGACATTATGAAGAAAAAGGTATCCATTGGTGGACCCCTTGCTCTTGCTGCCGATGAAAAAGAAAAATCAAGGACTTCAGCCAAAGAACATAAGAAGAAGAGCAAGAAAGCATTGGTGGTAGAATCAGAATCTGAAGAGGAAACTTCTGAATCAGATGATGAAA